TATATGCATTCCGTCCATCTTCCATCGTCTGAACAGCCTTAGCGTAATGCAGGAATTCATTAAGGAAACAGGCATCAAATTACCTACTTCAGAACGCAAAGTCATTGACTTCTCCGGCACAAAGACATTGATCTGTGAGATGCTTGGTTCCTCAGAAAATACTGTGCCAAAATTCTTAAACAGGAAGAACTATGTCTCTATCCATCCCTTCGACATGTTACAGGCTTTCACTCTCAAAGAAGCCGGTGAAGACTTTAATTTGGAGAGGCTTGAATTATTAGGTGACTCTTTCCTCAAATTTGCCATAGGAGAAGCCTTGTTTCTGAGAAGGAAATATAATGAAGGAACGCTTTCTCGTACCCGTGGCATATTGGTATCCAACAAAATCTTGTTTAGATTGGCATCCCAGAAAGATCTAGCAGGAAAAATTGCTGCAAAACCCTTTAACCCAAAGAAGAATGGATTTACACCGGGCTTTCAAATAAAGCCTGACTTTGAGAAAATGTTGCGAAGTCTGGAAGTACCCTCAGATCTTTGGCATCGGATTCTTGGCACTGCGGATACTATTTCTGACTTGGAGAAGGTATGTAACACTTTTGCTTGTGTGTTTTGCTTCATTACCGAGCCCGGTCATTTCTTTCACATGCTTTTCAGAGCCTTATATTTAGCATAACATAATTTGTATTAACAATTTACCATGATTGCTGTTGAGCATCCACATCCATTTGGTGACCAGAGCCCCTCCCAAGAAAGGGAAAGTGTAGGGTATGGTAGAAGTGCAGATTACAAATTATAAGGCAAACATATCTAAATTAGGAACTACAAAACCGACTAGCAAAAAAATCTAACCTGGGCAAGATGCCGAGACTTCAGTGGGTCTTGTTGGTGTACATCCTTTCCAGGCAGTTGGTACTCTGGCTTTAGCTGAGGTTTGCCCATTCCTTGAGCTTTTCTTCTGAATCATGCTGTTACTCTGCATGTAAATAAAGGGATCCTAATACGTAACTTCAGCAGCACTTATCACTAAATTAAAATGAAATTGCCAGACACAGCAAAATCTTCAGAAATTCCATTCATATTACACTGAGAAAACATGTCTGACAAAATTTAAGACAATATCTCACTTTTTTGTCTATAATATATCTGATAACTTTTATAGATACTGCAGTTGGATCCTACACCTTTTTGTTTACATAAAAAAACAACACTGCATTCCTCTGTTAGGCCAAAACTAAATGTTATTAGAGTAGATCCCTTATATATATATATATATATATATATATATATATATATATATATATATATATATATATATATATATATGTGTGTGTATATATATGTATATATGTATGTATATATATGTATATATATGTATATATATGTATATATATGTATATATATGTATATATATGTATATATATATATATATATATATATATATATATATATATATATATATAAAGACGGAGAGAGTCTATGAGTGGGGGGGGCGAATGTGAAAATTCAGAGATTTCAATATTTTTCAAAAAAAGCAAATATGATAACCTGTCATAGGTGGCGAGGGGAGTCTTTGCCTTGGGGGATTCGGATTACCTGGTACAGGTGGCGAAGCGAGTCTTTGCCTTGGGGGAGAGGGATTCGAAAATCAAAAGCTTAAGACATATTTTAAAAATAGCAAACATGACATTCTGCTCAAAAAAAATATTCAATAAGTTCCAAAATAAAAGAGGCGTGTTGCGGTCTACGACTTTTGGCCGAAAGACTCCTCGTCGAAATAACATTCCACTCGGAACGACTTTTCTTCGAAACGAGTTTTCCCAGAAACAACATTTCCCCGAATAAAAACAGCTTTCATAAAGTTGAAATATCGGAGAAATATAGTTTTTGTTGAGGTAAATGTCCTTTATACTTGATACAATTAACATTTCCCAAATTCAAAAATAGTAAATGCGTTAAAGGTTTGCATGCGATAAAATATATTGTAAATGTAATTGTTTTAATATTTTTTTAGATTGCGGAAGAAAAGTCGTATCAGTCAGACTCGTTTTCTGGGAAATGTCGTTTTCAGGTAACAATTTTCGGGGAAATGTTGTCTTCTGGTAAATGTGGTTTTGGGGAAAAGTCGTTTTCAAGAAATATGGTTTCCTCGAAAATGTAATGTAATTTTATAAGATATCCTGAGCAGTAGTGGAATACGGTATACACCAGAAACTTGAGCAGTACAGAGTGTATCTCAGTAGTTGTCAATTCTTTTTACTCAAATATTTGAAAATTTCACAATCTCAACCCGTATATGCTTATATGATTAGCTCGAGTTAATCTTATTGGTTGTTTGATTATTATCGATTTATTCCATCATTGTTTGGCTTATTCGTTTACGGGCGCAGGATTAGCTGCCAGTAGCTCTAGTAATACTGAGCTGTGAATTGCCTTTGTTGCCCAGAGCCAAGATACAATAACTACTTCCATATTAACCGATTAACGTGACCCGATCAACAATCGCATCCTCTTATCTATGTAATAAATCTACTACCAACAAAGCCGGTTAACATGTTATCTGAGAATGATAGTTCCGGGCAGATTACTTTCCAGGAAGTAGAACAAACAAGTTATACAATATGTTGTCCTTTTATAGGAGATATAAACTTCCTCTTCCCTTTATTGGTGATTTTATCTGTGTTCAAATGTTTTTCATCCAAGACGTGCCAGGAACATAACTCATAGGTTTTCATTACTATTATTTCCCTATATATGTTCTGATACTGATACTGTAGGTCTGTAACTATGAATATACCAATAAACAAATAATCAAAACAATAAGCTGTGCAATTCAAAAAGCTTTTGAAGTAATGCATAGTTTGATGATCTTTAAGACAAAAAGCACCTTTCACACAACAACATGTGCATGACACAGTTCTCACATAATTATATACTTAGCACATCAGTGTATTCAGTTCTGCGTTAAATAATTAATTCCCAGAAGTAATATATCCATATAGTTTCCACTGTTTTTGTGTGTGTTAACTGTGTTTTGTTGTGGTGGGGTGGGGAGGGGGCGATCTGCTTTAAAAATAGATTTCAGGTCCATTCGAACTCCGCTAGTTAGGCTTCATGAACCCAGGAAAGTATAATTATAGTATTTTTTTATTAGTCTGTGTGAACGTGTAAAGCAAATGTAAAGCACAATTTTTCAGCAATATCGGGGGGGGGGGGGGGGGGGGCGGAGATATACTCTCGCCCCTCCAGTTATCATTCGGGGGGGGGGGGGGGGGGAGCGGAGATATACTCTCGCCCCTCCAGTTATCATTCGGGGGGGGGCGGGGCTCGCCCCTCAACCCCCCGCTTCCGCCGGCTATATATATATATATATGCATATATATATATATATATATATATATATATATATATATATAATATACATATGTATATATATAATATTATATAATACATATATATATATATATATATATATATATATATATATATATATATATATATATATAATATGCATATGTATATATATAATATTATGTAATACATATATATATATATATATATATATATATATATATATATATATATATGTGTGTGTGTATTTGTGTGTGTGTGTGTATAATATATGTATATATATAATATATAGATAATATAATATAATACAACATATATGTTAAATGTGCGTATATGATATATATAATATATATATGCATAATTTATATAATATACATATATATATATATATACATATTATATATATATATATATATATATATATATATATATATGTATGTATATATATATATATATATATATATATATATATATATATATACACACACATATATATACATACATGTGAATGCATGCTGAGCATATTGCCTATTTCACCCCTATTATCATCATTAACAATTAAAGTTGACAGCAGTAGGAAGGCAAGTGTCCCCTTTTCTCAACAGGCAGTCCAAAATTTGATGCCAGATGGGAATCGGAACTCGTGTTATAACCCATGGACAGAGCACGACGTTTCCGGTAAGAGCCTTGCAGACTGCACTGAAGCCATAACTGGCGCCTATCTTCTTGTGTGTGGCGATGAGGCTGCTTTAGCCTTCCTTGACTGGCTAGGAGTCGGGGTCTGCAAGGTACTTTTAAGTTGAGTTTGATATGGATGTTTGGGGAAGAATTTCATTGGTACAAAAAGTAATGAAAAATTCTTTAACCCCTTGGTGCCGGGTATGACGTGTACGTACGTGCTATGCCCACAGTGAGTACTTGTTTGATTGTTTTTACGCATAGATGGCAACACTTGTACTAACTCCCCAATGAGCCAGTTACAAGCACCGCCCGTCTCGCCCGTTTACCCGTTTCTTTGATTTACAAAATATTTTACGTAATCTTATTTTGCTGTTACTAATGGTAAAAAAATTTATAAAAATTATAATGTTTATGAAAAAAAACACCATCAATTTTCATAGCACTAGTGAAAAATACGTTTTTCCCGCCATTTAAATCAGGCGCTAGCAGAGCCATCTATCGGCAGACATTTCACGAAAAACATAGAAAGTGGGCACAATATTTTCCCCATTTTTTTTTCATTTTCCCCGGCACCATTGGGTTAAAAGCCTTTTAGGTACAAATCGCAATTTTAATAATGTATTTAATGATTATGCAGAAGAGTAGATACTGTAAAGATGTATAGAGGTTTTAATTATATATAACTCACTCAGAACGAAAGATGGTAGGTTAGATGTTTATTTTATGCATTTGTTATTTTATATTTCCAGGGCAAGTCACTGTTAAAGGAACCAAAGACAAAGACTGCTTGCGTACGAAAAGAATGTGCACAGGAGATAGAAATGTTATACCAAAAAGTAGGCCTCAAACAGTTAGAGAAAAAGATTGATTATTCTTTTCGCGACAGAAGTTTCATTGTCCAGGCCGTCACTCATAGTTCGTATCAGGATAACTTGGTATGTTGAAGTTGTTTCTCTCTCTCTCTCTCTCTCTCTCTCTCTCTCTCTCTCTCTCTCTTTCTCTCTCTCTTCCTCTCTCTCTCTCAAAGAAAATGCACTAAAAACTTTTACCATAAAATAGAGTTAATAGAGGGTGGAGCTATTGCTACCACCACGACTGGCCAATCAGAGTGTGCTGTAATATAGCCAAATGCATAATTATCTGTATTTTCTACTAATTACTGATATAATTACCTGAAATAAAATCAAAATTCTCCTCCTTTGTTTATGATAATGAAGAATTCCTTACCCTTAACAACTTCATTTTTGGGTTGATCAGGCCAACTGGAAGTGGAGCTACCTGGTTATATATATCCTGGCTTTTTATACTTGCGACAATAACATTCATTCCTCTCTTTCTTTTCCAGGTGAAAGACAACTATCAGAGACTCAAGTTCTTAGGAGATGCAGTACTGGGCTACCTGGTGACATGTCATATATTTTGCTGCTATACAGATAACTCTCCAGGCGAGCTGTCAGATTTGAGGTCTTTACTCAAGCTTTGTTTCTTGTTCCTCAGCCTACAATGGTTTAAAGTTATTTCTTATAAGTGTATAAAAGTCCATATAACCTTGTCTATATACTGCTATATGATAAGGAAAATATAGAGAAGTAATTTATACATATATGTGAAAAAAATGTGTGTGTTTATGCATTTATTTATTTATTTATTTATTTAAGTATTATCACAAAATTTAATTATAAGCATTAATGGTTATCTACAGGTCATATCTTGTTCGGAATGACACCCTTGCCCGTGCAGCAGTGAAGGAAAATTTTCACAAACACCTGCTGCATCTTAACCCAGAGCTTCTAAAGTCAGTTAACGAGTTTCTCTCCAGTCTTGGCCAAGACCACTTGGAAGAGGACTTCAAGACAGAAGATGATGCACAAAACTGTGGTGTAAAAATCTTAAGTTTACCATTTTATTAATTCCCAGATTTACACACTATTTTTGTATTCAGAAGCCTTTCATGTGAACTTTTTTCTGTGTTAGAATTTTATGGGGAAAATATTGAATGGTAACAGTACTTGCTGTTGCAGGACATTGAACTACCAAAGGCACTTGGGAATATGGTGGAAGCTATTATTGGTGCCGTGTACCTTGATAGCAACAGGTCACTCCAGGTAGGCAACAGATTGGATTTCAGTTCACAGAGCATACATTATCAAGGAAAAGACAGATTCATGAATACCAGATATTTGAGCCATTTAGTACTACACTTTCAAAATTTATAAAAATCTTTACAAATATAGAAGCCTTTAAACTTAGTAGGTCTGCAGGAACCCAAGTAAATTATGCAGTGATGATGCATGCTCGCATTTGCAGAATAGAATAAATGTGTATTGATTTCATAAGGAGACATTAACTTTTTGTTATTATTGTTCACTCAAGGTAACATTATCAATTTGATGATGGATTCAAGAAAAGGGGGACAATGCTAAAATAAAATTCCAGCCTAACAACCCCTCAATCATCAACCCCCCCCTTCTTCTGCCACCTTTGTTGTTATAGGGCAAGAATGTCATTTCACGGTTCTTGTGTATTTAGGAAGGGGACCAGATATAGGTTGCTTTCCTGTGTTTTCTCTTCCTTAGAAGTTTCTTTCAGCTATTTTTCATAACTGCCCCTACTTCCAAAATTAAGGCTACGGTGTTTGTGAAAATTCCTACTTATATGTTTGCCCCGACAGGATGCATGGCACGTTATACAAAGGATATTAGGGAAACTGCTAAATTCCAGGCAGGAAATTAAGGCAGTACACTTAGATCCTGTCCGTATCCTGCATGAGGCAGTGCCAGGAGAGAATCAAGTCGTCTTTGAAAAGGGCCGAAATGATGGAAATGAAATCTTATCTTACACAGTGAAGGTCAGTTGATTTGTTTAGCATGGAAGAAGCTATTCTAATCCCTTGTTTACTCCAATTTCTGGCAATTCTTTACAGTACAGATGCACTTGCCAAATACCCAACACCACATCACAAAGTCTGAGGGCAGGTTTCCGGGGGGGCTCTGCCTCCTAACAACCCCTGGTAGACATTGTCTTCACCACAGCACGCATGGTAAGAGGACTAAGTGGTTATAAGCGGCTTTACTCAGTATGTCTGCAGATTATTTTTTGTGCTGACGACTACAACTTTTTGTCTTTTACAAAAATGTCTTCGATTTGCCCTCGCAAATCTGCTGTGTGGTGCAGCGGTAGCGATCTCGCCTTGCAATCTTGCTGACCTGCGTTCGAATCCCTCGCCGCCAGTGGATGGTAACCCCGGCCATTCCTTGCACACAGGGGATAATTTAGAAGCAAAATAAAAAAGACAGTATGTCACACCAAGAATATCCATTGTAACAAATGGAATCAAACTAAATTATTATTATTATTATTATTATTAGTGCATCCATACTTTAAAGATTATCTCCATTTCCTTCATTCTCTCTCTCTCTCTCTCTCTCTCTCTCTCTCTCTCTCTCTCTCTCTCTCTCTCTCTCTCTCTCTCTCTCTCTCTCTCTCCCTCTTCCCTTTTTTCCCTCCCTCCCCCTCTTCCCTTTCTTCCTTCTTGCCTTTTCTCTCTTCCCTCTTCCCTCTTCTCCTCCTCCCTCCCCTGCCACATCGATGGCTCCTGAAGCTCGTAGTTACCAAGGAATTAGGTCTACCTAAATTTAGAAATATATATTTTAACTGTTATTATTGCTATTAACTTAATGATGATGATGATGATGATAAGAAATGGAATAAGAATAAGAATAAGAATAATCATGAAAAAAAAAAATCAAGCAAAAGAGTGTGCCTAGGAATTGATTCCTTGGTGATGAAGTTCTTGTAAAGCCACTTATGTGTCAACAACTTTGATAGGCTAAAACAAAATCACAGATTACATATTCCTTCATATATACAAACATCTGAATGCAACACATTTTATCGATTTACAGATGCCATGTGTTGTTCAAGTATACAGGAAATAAGGCCATGGTTAAATCCTCAATATTTTTGAAGTTCAATTTATGTTATTTAGGTTAGATCTCAATATGATTACAGGATCTACAAAGGCTGATTAGTTTATCAAGGAAGACCTGTGATAATACTTATCAGGGAGTGAGAACCAAAAAATTAAAAGTCAGGGATCCGTTTGATTGAACAGTTTGTTTTCAGTTACATGCGTTGAGGACGCAATCATTGGTCGTCTGTTATGGAATATTTGTTGATCTGAGTGTTATCCTTTGAAGATTTGGGGGTTTGATATCACTGAATGCTTCATGAGTTTTATCAATTTTGTTGAGTAAGTTCCCTCATAAAGTCAACTGAAAATAATAACAGGATCTTAAGTAGACTGACATGATATTTCATTTTAACAGGTAGCTGGCGTTGGCATCTTTACAGGTCGTGGCAAGAACTACCGAGTGGCAAAGAAAAGAGCGGCATGGAGTGCCCTAGAGAAAATCAAAAGCCAGAAGCCTGAAACTGTTTGAACTGTTGTATTTGTCATACCTAGAAATTTCAATGTTAAAATAGCATTGCATATTACCACATTAGAAAGCCTGGAACATGAACCGAACGTTCCAATATTATCTTTTCATTATTATAGCAATGTAAATTCGCCCATTCAACAGTCAGAAGGAGAGAAAAACACGAGTGACCCCTTTATGCACAGGTGTGTGGTCGTGTTATTCATTAATTAGGAAAATAATATTTTGCCTGTGCCAAAAGAATGGCTAGTAATTTGGTCAAAGTGACGAGGTGGTAAACACTTCAAGGCACATGTGAAAACAATGATAAACGACTTCCTTTCTGGTCATCTCCATGCACGGGAATTAGCTAAGATGACATTTGTCTTATTTCACTTAAAGCCCCATTAGATAATGTTTTGTTCTAAAGACTTGTGCTCATGGTATATTTTGTGTGCTAATTAGGTTATGGTGACAGGGAACGGGCAGCCGCTGGAACTAATATATTTACCTTTAATTAGGGGTGAGGAGTATGGTGTCCATCCACCAGGGTCATTACTCAACCTTCCTCCTACAGCCCTTTAATCACCTCCTCTTCCAACACTGTCTCCAAAAACAAAGTAGACAAAGTTTGCTTTTTCAGTCATTCTGATCATTCACGCCTTATCATAGTTACATCTAAGTCCCGAGTTTGTGCACTATCTACCCTGCCCAACCTCACTCATCCCTTAATACTTGTACTGGAAGTGTTTGCGTCTCCTTGACTGATTGTCTTGTCTACTGTGAAAACGACATGCTCACCCATGATGTAGTGGCTCTACAGTACTACACTATTCCTCCCGAAGAACAGTGTAAGTACTACACCAAAATTAGCATGGTCTCCCCCATGAAGTATATATTGTTGGGGTGTACTGCCCTGTTCGACTATATCGACTCCTTCAATATCAAAAAGTTTGGTGTTTTGGCCATCCAATCAAACACTTCGCTCCACAGCCCGTTGCTCTTCAAGTGCTTAACCAATTCATGACCGATCAAATTGCTCTGCTCAGCCATGCACATGTTCCCATTGTGGTGGCTCCCCTAATGTATTTTATAGGAGCTGCCTCCCTATAAGCTCGAATCTGAGGTAAGAGTTTTCAGATTCACACCAGGCCTTACTCGATCAGGAGAGACAGGAAGCGCGCAAACAACTGATTGATTATTTAAAATTATCTGCCGCGTCAACAGCTAAAGCTATTAGCGGCGAACACCTTGTTAGATTGAAATGTTAGAATATTTAAAGCATTAAAAATCTGTCAGTAAATGTCTTGTAAATAACAGTAAATATTATATCAAAGATCAAAACATAAATAATATGCTCTAAATGTATAAAATTATTGAAAAAAACATTGTGCATAATTAGATTTTATTGAAAATATTAGTCTCCCTCAGAACTAATACTAATCTGTCACAATCTTCTCCCAATACATTTTCCAGTGTATATGGGGAAGACAAGTACATACGTCTTTGGTCTGAGAATGTTACACATCTTTCCACTACATGTGCGACCGTTAATGGTTCTTGGCATTCCTCACAGCATGTTTCACTTTTAGCCATCATCGGTCCTTGAGTCAGACTTGTGTTCCTGATTCTCAGCCTTTTAATACAATTTCTACTTGTTGGTTTGGATGGATGCTGATCCTCCAACTGCCAAGATCATCTCTAATCTCTCGCAGTTTGTTATTGTACATATGCCTCCATTGTTCCTTCCATTTCCCGCAAAGACAACACTTGATGCTAGGTTTCAAGTCAGTGTATGGAAGAGGAAAACAAGCATCCATCTTCCTTCCTCCACAAAATCTTAACATAAATGATTTGGAAGATCTACTTGGGCAGTTGCCTCGTCCATTTCTACTTTCTAGGAAATTTCAATGGTCGGCATCACCTTTGGGGAGACACTTTATGCAACCCAGGGGGAAGAGCCTGGAGTCCTTGTTCTGAAGAGTAGATGCAGTTTTACTGAACAGTGACACACCCACACATTTCCAAATTCAAACTGGGACATTCTCCTATATTGGCCTGTCAATTGGTTCACCTGATTCACAGTTGAATTTCACTTGGCAAGTCATGGAAGACTTTCATGGAAGTAACCACTTTCCAATACTTTTGGAGGAGGTGAATGGTATTCTAGCAATGGAGTGCAGAGCTGGCGACTGAAATCTTTAAAGATCAACTGCAGTATTACAAGGATCTGTGAATGATTTCCATGGAAAGAGGCTATAATAATTTCCGTCCCTGAATTTGGCAAAGATGCATCCATACCAGGGAATTACACACCAGTTTCTCTCACCAGCTGCATCTACAAGCTGATGGAGATAATAGTAAACTTAAGGTTGTCATGGTTGCTAGGAAAGGAAAACGTGCTGACCTCATATTTATAAGGGTTTAGAAAATTGAGATCGACCACAGATGCACTTGTGAAGATGGAAACTGCTATACAGAATTCCTTCGCACAGTAACGTCACTTGTTAGCAATCTTCTTCTGTGCTGAGAGTGGAGAACCACCTCTTTCATTACACCGCGACTACATGAACCTGATTTACTACACGAGACTTCAAAGGATCCCGGGATCTCCTACATCCAGATTGGTTTTCAACCCCCTTGAGGATAGCTGAACCTATGGTAGGAGAATGAGGAAATCTTGTGGAAGATCTTAATTGGGCCTTGTTCCTCGGCATAAATGTTATACAGTTCAGAAGAAATAATCACAGATCACCATCATATCTGCAATGATGGTTATCACACCCACCTGAGCAGACTTCATTACTATGCATATATAAATAGTGATGCTTAAGAGAATAAGGAGTTAATGATTTCCTTATAAACATTTTTCCTTGTTCCCCTCCTGCCATAATTAACAATATGCTCCTCCTCAACGGGAAATATGATCGGTCTAATTCGTACTCAGACTCCAGCAGTGAAATGCCCGCCTGCATTCAACAGCGAACAGGGAAGTGTCCTGCTCAAAAGTTCAAACAACGAAATGCCCACTTGGCCTAAAATAGTAATGGGGGAAAAGTCCAGTGGATGGGTTGGAGGAAATGACGAAAACAAAAATGTACAAAAATTAATGCACCAACATAATTACACATAAGAATAACAAAAAAATAACATGACTAGGCTCAATCACTTGCCTGAACTTGCAGCTTAGAAGGCAGAAGGCAGAAGTAGTACAGTACCTCCCTGTGGAATCACTAAAGCAGAAGGGTGGGGGAAGAATTTGCAAAGATATAACCCCAGATTGGGTCCCCATGAAGGATATATAGAGAAAAAAGTTCAGGTCCTGTTTTTGTCCCCTTGTAAACTAATTGCTCGAAATCTTTCAACCACTTATGGTATAATGCATAAACCATATGTAAACATCAAATTTCGGAAAAATTATGGATTTGAGATGCAGTTGCTGTACAAAGCGACCTCATACATGGGCAAACGGCAGGAGTGGCAGGTTACTCTCGCTTTCCTTTTGGAAGAAAGTGGGCAGGCCTGGCATCTCACATAGGAATACTGGAAAAAATCACCTTCCTCGTTCCTCCTCCACTTTCTGTGTGCCATACTCATCCTCTTCCCTCTCCACATCACTTTCACCACCGAATAAATCACCCAAGACGTTTTCCAGTTTACTGTCGCTGGTCCACTGGAGATGGCATTTGCAAGCAAACTTGAGGAGCCTCCCGAGCTTACCAGTCATAAGTAACAATATGTTCCTCCTCAACCCCAAGCTAGACACTGGGGATAATACTTTCCACGTTTCCCCAACACCTGTGATGATATACCCAATGCCAGAAAACTGTAGTTGCTGGCGTTATCCTTCAAGACACTCGAGTCTCAGCACCTGAGATCGACCGTGACATCATGCTCCCGAGAGGAATTCCAAAATCACAAAATTCCCTTTTTTCAACATGCACCTGCTTCACTACTTCGTATGTAATGGAGAAAACACATCTATGAATTATCACCACTGTGCCTGCTCAAAATACATAACTACAGAGACCGCTAAGATAGCCAAAGGAACAAATGGGTTAACCTGAAAGCACACTACCTTCAGTGTTACAGTATGGGTATTGCATAGCCACCGGCTTTAAAAATCCACTTGAATTTTCAAAGTAACAAGCGAGGCGTTCTCCTCCACTTCTGTACAAAGAACAGGGCGTGCAGACTGCTGCCTGCCGCAATCAGATGCGTCTCATGCAACGTATGCATGATTTCTTTCACGCTTGGCTGCCAATTATGACACACCTGTGACTACTAGTATAGGGTTAAGAAGGATTTAGGAGTGATGTGTGGCAGAGCGGGAAAGGGAGAGAAGAGACGAAAATCAGAAGGAGAGTGAGAAAAAAATTCATAATTCTTCGGTTGAGTTTTCATTGCATATGCTCTCTATTCTAACTACTAATTCAAACATATGTAGAATGTTAATTTTGATAAACGTGATAAACAATAGGCATATGTGAATTAGGGGAGGAACGTTACTTGATCTATTGGAATGGTAAGCAAAAATTGTACTTGGATTTCTTAGTTTCAGAGTGATGTCAACTCAAGTTCCATATGTACATACATACATACATATGTGTGTGTGTGTGTGTGTAGTGGGACTATTCGCCCACTCCTTGTCCACGGTACTCCCACCCCCCACTTTGGGTACGACGAGTCCAAGAAGAGTTTCATTGTCCTTTTAAATATCATGTTTTATTCAACCTAAATTGTATTTTATTCAACGAGGTGAATATGCCGGGTGCTTCCCGTAAGCACTGTACGTGCACGTACGTGGGCTTAGCTACGTACACGCAAAGATGTCTGCCTGCCCAATAATTTGTGTGAAGACACTATCTTACCATGAGGATAGTGTCACGTAAATAAGTTGTATTTGTGACCAGTTTTTACAACGCAACTGGATGGCGTCTGCTAGTGGCGTCATGCTAGTGATTCATGTCGTCATTTATGACGTCATAAAACGTGACAAGGCAGCCACGCACGGGTATCCATGTCGATTAGCCAGTACCCTGACTAGGGGGCGTAGATACCCCCTAGGTACTTTGGAAGTACCGGCAGATCTGGTCTCGCCTCCATACTGCTCGGAACCCGTTGCTAAAATCAACAAAGGTCAACGGTCAGTACAATGTGTTTTACTGGGAATTCACCACTGTAGATGTTTGAATTCTTAGCGATTCGTGCAAGGGCGGTGAACTGGTAGCTAGGCTCTATGACGAAAATAAACAGGCAAGCAGCGCATTGGTATACCTCATTTCCCTCGGCTAATTAGTGATGAGATGTTCAGTGTAAGTACTGTGGATATAAAGTACTCATGCACTACTGATAATTAGCTATAGGTATAAATAAAGTATACTTCAAATCTAGTTGATTTACATATCATGGTTAACAGAACTTGTTTTTCTCATACGCGATTGCCGTGACCTGGACTCCCCCGCTCACCCCGCTTTGGCCGCTACCACATACATGCCGTACGATGCGTGGGTGGCCAGGGGGTGCTCGCATCAGGTAAATCATGCAATAAGGGAGGTGCTGATCAGGTCTCCAAGGGACAGTGACCTGGTATTGTCCGTTAACGTAGCAGTACTGCGTTACTGTTACCTTACATATATATATATATATATATATATATATATATATATATATATATATATATATATATATATATATATATATATATATGTATGTATGTATGTACACACACACACACACACATATATATATATATATATATATATATATATATATATATATATATATATATATATATATATATATATATATATATATACATATATATATATACATATATATATATATATATATATATATATATATATATATATATATATATATATATATAATGTATGTACCTTATATATATATATATATCATTCGTGGAGGCAAAGAAGCCCCTGGTTACGTATCGGCAAACAGGGCCAAGGTGGAATGAGCTGAGCAAATAAGACAATAAATAAAAATTAGAAATGTACGGAAATTCAACTCAAATAATAAAAGAAAGAATGGCCTCAGATACCAGCATGAAAACAGGAGATTCGGAGTAGGGAGAAATCAAATGTATGTAATAAAAAAAACAGACGGATAAGTGACATATAATAAGAATGGAATGATAACAGTAGTGGAAGACTTTTACAGGGATCCATACAACTCAAATGAACAGCCTTAGAAAACACCAGGTGAAGACGAAATTAGCATAGACCTTATAATAGATGCAGGAGAAATTGCAACAGTGAAACAAGCCAATCTTTTTAACAAATGCCTTTTCAACGGAAAAAAACTCTGGAATCCTGGAAAAATGCAACAATTATTTTGATACATAAAAAGGGGCATAGGAAGGATTTAAAAACTACCGACCCATAAGCCTCCTTTCAGTTACTTACAAACTGTTAACAAAAGTCATCACAACTCGCATCTCTGACAGTCTGGATTCTAACCAGCCTAGAGGACAGGCAGCCTTCCACAGTGGATTCTCAACAACAGGCCACATCCACACGTTCACCTAAAT